GATGAGGACGGGGAGGTGATGGAGTGAGAGGTTGGGGAAAAAGGAGTCACTAGCAGAGCACGACGAATTTAAACAGGCTTTTCAAAGGCGAGGGGGTGGCCGGAAAAAGCAGCAGTCAAAACGGACAGCAAATACAGTAATTAGATCACAAAACAGACAGCCAAAGAGAGCGGAGGGAGCGGGGCTAGTGACGAATAAAACGAGAAGCTGGAACGTGACTGCAGAAAAAGAAAGAAAGGAGTGGAAAATTCGAACAGATAAAAATAAAACGAAGTGAGAAGTGGACTAGGAAGCATAAGGTGGGTCAAGCTGTTGGCCTGCAATTAATTTATATGCTCAGTTAGTGACGAAATATTTGGTTTTTAGAATGTTTAAGGTTTATAATTGTCAAAAAGGTCATGATTAAAATATTTTCTTATTTCTTTGTAAAAATTTAGCTTATGTTAAGACAGCATTACCAAAACCTCAAACTAATTGGTTTATTTAAATATGGCATTTCTACAAAACGTTAAAATTAATGCTTGTTTAATGTCCGCAATTTGGCCAAAAAGTAGATTGCTCATACGTGATGTTGTCTTCGCTCACAAGTGTTCATTAATTAGCTATTTTAATGCACACATTTATATAATCGCCTCATTCACTTTAAATACAGAAAATAAATTATTTCGGTGAAGGATATTGCCTTAAAAGGATACAACTATTTGGCAGCGTAACTCAGAGAAAGCATTCAATAAAAAGCAACCCCCACCGCCCCCAAAATCTCACTTCCTGCCAAGAAACAAAAAAATGAGTTGCATGTGTGGCAGCTTCCTAATCGACAACAACAACAGCAACATCAAGCAACAATGGACACATTCGTGTGTGCGAAAAAAACTAAACTCAATTACTCAACAAACATAGTAACCTAGTTCATAAAAAGCAACTGCAACAAATGCTGTTAACAGCAGCGGCCAACAAGAAAAGCAACAAATTCATTTGCGCCTTTGTTGTTTTGTTGCTTTGATTTTTGTTTTAAGTTTTTGTTGTTGGTGCTTTCCACGAGAAAAGTCCTTCAAGCGTGACAATCACATGGAAAACGCTCGCCGCTGTGTTGTTGCTGATTTATCGTTTTCATTTTGCAGAGCTTGTTGGATGTTGTAAAAGGAAATGTCAATTCTGCTGCTGCTGCAAATGTGGCTGCCCGTTTGCCAAACAATGCTAGCCAAAATAAAAAAAAATCTGTGTGGAAAGGGGGTGGAAAGGAGGGGACATGCACCCACTAATGTAAGTCATATAACAAATTTCGTTGTTGGGCTACTTGAAAAACAAAATCTCGTGTGTCTTGGCAGCTGGCCGAAGGCAACACTTCAAAAATATGGTTCATATTTGGCTGCAAGTCTTCTAATATAAATGTCTTTTACATTCTGTCTAAACATATATTTTTGCTAATAAAAAAAGATTTAAATAAAATGCATGTAACAGCATCTATAACTTACGAGTATTATTTAGTGGTGAGGACTGTATTAAAAAATCCTGAAATATTAGATTTTAGAGTCCTCCCTTAGCTTTTAAAAGGTGTTTCTAGTTTTAGTTCTTAACACAACATTTTTAGATATTCAAAATGTTTGGTATTTTTATAAGTATGGTTGCCTTTAATATTTTATATTTGAAAAATATTATTTTAACGTTATTGATCAATGATCAGTAATCAAATTTCAGGATACATTTTTCCGCGTGCATTTGAGAACGTGGAATCAGTTTTGGAGATTCTTGGCCGCCCTTCGTGGAGACTTTCTCCTTCCTCCGAATGCGATGCCACCGATTTTGCAGCGATTCGGTTCCTCCTTGCGTGATGTCCAGCAATGTGCCCAAGCCTGTTTTTTCGCCCTGCCACCCCCTTCAACCCCCCGGAACCCCTTCTCTTTTTTTGGACCATGCCAGAATTTGTTAGTTTAAGAGGAACAACAGGAAAGCCAAGAAGTACGGGGAGTAAAAAGTAAAAGACACGCTGAAGACTCAAAGCGAAGCGCCGTTCCACTCTGGGAATGGGAATGGAATGGGAACCCATGGTATATGGTATATGGTATAGTACACACGGAGACCCTGAAGCTCTTTGGGGATCGTGAGTCAGCAGAGTTTTGGCTAAGAAATCTGCTAAAAATATAAGCCTCGATGATGATTTATTGTTTGGCTTATTAGAACGAGAGGGAGAACAGCGATAGGAGATCGCTTTCATGCCTGGATTTATGCTGTGATGCTGTTGACTTTTAAGCACTGTAGCCGTGTCTTATTGGAGCTTAGTGACTCACCGCAGGCTAGAACTTTCCACTTTTAGGTATGCGAAAATGAAATATGTAAGTGGGTACTTTTTAGCACATACACTTCACCCGGTAATTGGGGGCATTTCAAGTTCCATTAGTTGGCCTTTTGTGATGGTCCTGTTGTTTTGATCACAAACTTGTTGTGTGGTTGATATATCTCACATGCGGAGGGTTCCGTTGTTATTTAAATTTTGATCAATCATTGCTTGGTAATGGATCAATATTTATTTGTATATTTAATACAATTAATGGGAACCACCAGTGCAACATAAACAATCTTAGTTTTTGTATTATATTTATTGATCTCCTTAAACAAACCATTTTAATAAAGAGTCATATAAAAATGGTAGGGCCTGAAAAATCTGGAATATCCCTTCAATAAATTCAAATTCCACCTTAAACTATTCCAAATATTTGCGATTAAGAATGGATATGACCGAATCGCTTGCCCAGAGCCAAATATCTCTCTCTTGGCCTTCCACTTCCACTGGCTTTCTTGGAAACGCTCTTGATCGGATTCCGATTCCAATTCGGGCTCGCATTCAATAACAGATTTATGCATTGGCCATGGCAATCTAATACGAGCCACAATAAAAGCTCGAATATGGCCATTTGGCAACACGTCAACAGCAACAACAACAACTACAACAACTGAAGCCAAGGCAATGAACGAAACGTGCCAACGTCTAAAGATCGTCGATAAGCCCAAAAAGAGGGAGTTATAGCCACACTGGTGTTGGTGGAGTAAAGTCACAAGGGGGGATAAAGCCAGGCTATGCAAAGAAAGTTTTATTTTTAGAGCCCCAGGACCAAAGTGTTTGGACTCCACTTCGACTCAGAAATCATTTACGGTCAAGAAAATTTTTTCTACGATTTTTTTAAAAGCTCAAATTAGTGATACAATTTTATCTATGCAGAGATTTAGAAAAAAATATGTAAACAAAATTAATATAATTATGATATCAAGAACAAAATTTAAAAGTTTATCGAGAGAACTTTTGATAATGTTTACGTACTTTTCACCCGGATTTCTCCTGAAAATATTTGTGTGTCACACCCGTTTATACAATTTTAATTTTCTAAAATGTTAGATATTTTAATTCATTTACTATACCTTTTGTAACATTTATTTTTTTAAACAGTGAAGAAGTTGTAAGCGCCTAACCTTCTATCTTTATTTCTAAAAAAAAGTCAGTAAATTACAAACACTCTCCTTTCCTTTGCTCGATTTTTAACGAACAAACTTTAAGAAAATTGTGCCAAATCCATGTGAATGTCTTTATATGCAAAACTCATTTAGGTGACTGGCATGATCAGCGCAATAATGTTCAGGGTCTATAAATATTCATAAATTCATACGCGCATAAAGCGATGGCTAATAAAAATCCTAAAACAGGATTTCGCAAAACCCTGGCGATATTTTCCAGCAGAGAAACTTTTCTCTCGAAATCTGCATATAAGCCGCAGTAGCAGTAGCAGCCTACTGTGAATGATCAGCGATCGTGGGCAGCAGGAGGAAAATTCAGGTGACTGAAACTCAGGCGAGGGGGGGTATAAAAGCCAGGCTGCCGCATTTGGTTGACGATTTTTATGGCTGGTTTTTTCTTGGCGTTTGTCTTAACGGTTATTTCTCCTTTATTTTTTGCCTGTTGACTGCCATTAGCAATTAATAGTCGGCACGAGAAATTTGCATTGCAAAAGGAAAGTGACAAAAAGGTGAAAAGAAATGTATAGAGACGGTGGCAGTAGCGATCACAGATCACTGATCACAAATCACAGATACGGCAAGGATGCGATAATTGCGTGTGTTTCTGGCCATTCGTTTGGTTAGCTAATTGTTATGTATGTAGGCTAACACCGCAGGAAAGTGAGAGTGCAAGTGCGAGTGCGAGTGACACCTGTTACACCTTCGATGCGTGACCAAAAAGATGCGTGACGTGTGTGCTTTTCCAACCATCAGCCAGCCATCAAGCATCATCAGCTTCGGATCCTCAGATCTTGAGATCTTCGGGTTCAATTTGATCCACCTGCCACCGGGTCAACAAGCCTGCTGCCTCCATGGGATCGATCTCTTTCGGGGCAGACGCATTAAGTTTCATGTGCCGTCATTATTTTAAATTATGCACACGAGCGAAACTCATACTCAAAGGCTGCTAACGAAAAGTAAACTTTAAAAAACGAGACTCGGCATAAGTCGAAAACTTCATTTGCATCTCGACTGGGGACGGGGACTCTGCGTCTGTGTGTGCGGAAAATTGTTTAACACTTTTGGCCCCTGTCTCTTTCTGGACTTAAATTTGATGGATTGTGTGGCCACAGGTTGATGATTTCATTAGACAGCCCGAACGAACAGGTGAACGGGCGAGATCTTAAGTTACGGCTATAACGAGGCGAAATTAAAAATCATTTTCATGGGTATCGGGGGGACTCCCTCGAAATTGGCCTCCTAACTGAGTGGAAAGTTTGCAGTTAAGATGCAGAAACTTTGATTGTAAAAAATGTAGTCCAATCGACCATTTAAGTCCAATGGCCTAAAAGGACTCAATTATACAGAAGAAAAGCACATAATATCAAAAATGAGAATTGTTCCGGATTTAAATTGTTATTAACAATTCTATGTAATTATTTCTTATTGTGAAAAACAAATATTTAAAAATCAGTTATCATTTTAAAACCCGTATTTTTGGTTCATATACTTACACTGAGAATTTCCTAAGAGCCAAAGAATATTCGATGTCTTATCAACATTTGCGTTTGCGATCTGGAATATTAAAATATTTAAATGGTGATTAGAAAAACGATTTTTACAAAAAGGTATTATAATATAATTACATTATTATACATTAAATATATATTTTTCTCCTGATTAAAAATATTACAAAATAATTCATTTCAAATTTTTTAGACCATACCGCACAACATTATTAACATAGCTCAACAAATGATTGGCACCTCTCCCTTGATAAATATTGACGCCAAATGAATCAGTGCGGTTAGCCGCTTTAAATCCATCGTAAAATCCGTGTAAATCAGATCAAATGGATGGGCCACCTCGTTGGCAAGACACACTCATTTCTCATTCAACAGAAATACACGCCCACAGAACAACTCCCACTTCGTTAGAAACTATTTCCACCCGCTGATGACACATTACTGTCACTCAGCGTTATGAGCTAAATTTATTGATGCAGCCCGGCGGTGCCCTCCCAATTTCTTCTTGGCCCCGAAAGAATGTTTAATGTTTTCTTCGTGTCAGCGCATGCCAAAAAGTATTTTTTTCCAAGAGGCCTCCTCCTTGCATGTGGAAATGTCACTGGGATCTTTGGCCCCCCGATTTTCCACGGGGAAACAGGAGGGGGAGGAAAATCCCATGTGCAATGGGAGAAAAGAAGGAAAAACAAGGCGGGAGAAAAAGACTCATTTCGTAATGATGTGGCCAGGAAAATTAGAAGAAAATACAAGAAAAAAAGGAGAAGCTGAAGTAAAAACAAAAAAGAAAACGAAATCGCTGACATCTTTGCTAACTAAAAACACAGACTAGAAGAAAAGCGAAGCGCTGGGCGTCGGGGAAAAGCCCCTGTAATTTATAGGAAAATTCCTTTGGAATTTATGTGCGGAATCATGACATAAATTAACCAGCCAAGTGTGTAGAGCGACTTGCGTGCTAAAGTGGTGCGGTGGTTCCCCTGGTATCTCCTCGGTGGCTCCTCGGTGGGTTAGTGGTGCAAATTGCGCTGATGCAACCGCCCGCGCAGGTATTTAGTTGAATTATCATAATTATAAGCAATTATCTAACATTTTGTTAAGCGAATGAAACTAATCGTTTTCTTCTCCAGCTTTCTTCGCTCTTTTCTTACTTTCTTCTGTGGGCACTTCTCTCCTTTTTTTGGTTTGCGTTTGCTCTACCTCTGCCGTAATCATTTAGTTCGAAATCAACTTTTGTTTTTAATTTTATGTAATTGCCGCTTAATCACAGAGCAATTAAAATGCAACGCAATTTTCGGGGGCGTCCAAAAGTTTCTGAAGCGTTTCGGGATTTTGATTTTTCGGTTTCTTATTTTTGGCTTTTCATTTGCAGTCATGGCGGCGGTAAAACGGGGTCAAGAGCTTCAACCAGGAGCAACTGGCAGACTGGCAGGTTGGGTCCACGACCAGTGCAACGGTTTTTCCACCAGCTCAGCTCCATCGATGAGTCCGCATTGCGTCATCGTTCATAATTCGCTGTCCACTTGGCTGTCCACTTCAGTTGCACATTTTACCGCTCCATCTCGCTCACACGCTCTCTTTGCCGATCAAGTGCATATAATTATGCACTATACCCTATATCGTAGGGCATCGTTGGGAGAGTTGAGAGGATTTATAATAACATTGGATCGTTTTGTTCTATAACTAATATTCACCCATAATAAAAAATAGTAACTCATTTACGATTACAAGGAATATCTAAAAGTATATTTATTTTTCCAAAAAATATTTTATTTTATTTTTAAAATATATTAAGGAAAATAACATCTATTACATTTACAATTTTTCCCTATTTAAGTATATGAATGAAAAGTTTAACATACAATTTTAATATAACCTTTTTATTTAGCAAGATTATCAAGTATAGTTCTTAATGCCAATTCAAACATCAATTTAGAGCATCTCAGTGGTCGTATTTTCTCTGCGATTTTCCTTCTTTTTTCCTGGCATTTCTGGGCCACCGAAGTTCGTGTTTGTTTTCCACAACTGGCGGCCATTTAAATTGTCTTCAAAAGCGCACATTACATAATTAAGACAGCACTACCAGCATAAGCAGATATAGAAACGGTCCGGCGTTTTAAAACAGACCGACAATGTCTGTCCGTCCGGCAGTTGAGTTGCCTGACTGACTGACAGGCCATCAACTCCAACAAAATGCTCAACACCTCGCCAAAGAGCCGGTGGAAAAAAAGAAGAAAAAACAACAGCAACAGAAAAAATAGAGTCGCTGCCGAGACTTTCCTCGCCGACTCGCTTTTTTCGATGCATCATCGCATAATCAAAGAGTCATAAAAACCAATAATCATTATTAAGCAAAACAAGCCAATTAATGCAGCAACAGCAGCCGTAATTAAATGAAAATAAAACGCCAAAAGATTTGGCCAACATTGCAAATTAGCCAGGGGCGAAAAACAAGTCTATTACGGGCGCATTTTATATTGTAATTATAACAGCCGCCGACAATTTTCAAATATTTTTACTAATTTTGCCATTTGCGTGTCATAATAAAACGATAAAGCTGCGACTCTAGCGGAAGGCCTGGAAGGAAGTAGCCAGGCCGAGTTTTCATCAGATGGAAGTTTTAATTACCCTAATAATATATAGGAGTTTTATTTTTTTGGGAAGTGGAATTCTGAATTACAGTTATTACTATTTATGAACTTGGTTGTTTTTTTAATATTTATAATACTTTTTTACATAACAAAATGTAATTTATTTCACAAATGTAGTAAACTACAAAACGACTTTAGTTTTGTAATAGCAATAGCTTTTTTATTTCCAGCTATTTCATTGAAGAATTTTAGTTCTAAGATAAATATATATTTAACTTTTCCTTAATTTGCTGACATTTCAAATCAAAATTCTTGAAATTTTATTAACCACGAAGCTCTTAAAAAATTAGATTTAATGATAGATTGGCCAACTTTTATTAGCCAATTAACGTAAGTTATTTTATTTATTATTATATTAGCTATTATAGTTTTATTTATATAGTTTTCCATTAAAGGCCGTTAAGAGTATCAACCGAGGCCCCCACGAAACGGGAAGAATGCTGAAATCCCGCGTGTCCATTCCAATTAGTGTGGAAAATAAAGTGAAAAAGTGTCCAATTGATTGGGCATTGGGCGAGGTGGAAATCCAACTCAGGTGGGACCGAGAATGGGTGAGAAATATTAAACGGAGTGCGTCCTGCTGCCGCAATTTACCAATCAAGTTTGCTCGCATTGAAAATTAGTGAAAGTTGCGCCCAAGTTGTAAGTGGCCTGGTGTTTGTCTGGGTTGTTTTGGCTTTTCTGTTTGGGTTTGGGTTTTGTTTTGGTTTTGGGCCTTTGGTAGTGGACAGTCGGAACGGTAGCCAAAAACCTAGGGCAATATCGTGTCGGCGATCGCGGCCAATCGATAGCCAATGATCAATGAGTTTTGGGGGCGAAAGAAAGGGAAAAGGGAAAAAGGAAAACCTCCCGCGGCGAGTGCAGGTCCGAAGGGCACCTGGAGGTCAGAGCTAATTGATTGGGAAAACCATTTCTCGATTCGACGGCTTTGGCCGCCATTAACAAGCATCGAAAACATATGATCCAAGCCATGGCTAATCTGGTTAATTCCATTAAGTGGCCCGGCGAAGATCCAGAGATTTAACAATAATCGGGTAATTGGCTGGGGATTAGGTAAGGCAATAAATATTTGGGGAAATCTTAATACCTAGTTAAAAGAAATTTAAGTTTCAGATTCGTTTAAAGCTTCAGGCAGTTAAAGTTTAGTGTAGGTATACTTAATGAAGTGACTATTAAGTGTAACATAGGTAGGGCTAGAAAAGTATCGATATTTTCGATATTTTCACAATGTTTCCGATGAACAAAAAAGGCTAAAAATATCGAAATTATTAATTTCTCTAGTATAACTTGACCTATCTCAACTCCCATGACTAATTCAAACAATTTCCAATCTCCAAACTCTTTCACCTAATGAAAATAATTCAGTAATTCGTTGTGCATTTCAATTTGAAACATTTCTCAGTGCGTTTCATCGCAAGTTTTTGGCTTTGGCATTTTATAAGCAGCCCCTCCCCGCAGCTAAAAACTTGGTACCATTTGTCAAAGTTGCCTTTTCGAGTGCTGAATTTTTCATGTGCATTTAATTAGTTGAATTATGGCTGCGAAATGTGGCGACTGGCAATTCGCGGCACCGCAGCCGCCAACGGCAGCACTAAACATTACAATCTAATAAAAAGTCGGAGAAAATAAAACTTAAAAATACAACTTAATGAAAATGAAGTAAAGACTCTCTGTGCAGCCATATTGTGCGACAACTTTCGCGAAATAATTTTTATTGACTCCCGTCCAGCTCGACAATGGACCGCTTGGGATGTCAGCTGCGAAAATCGCACGAAGTCACCTTTCCCCATTTTCCTCGATTATTTTGGCGGCCGATAATTACGAGGGGAGTGAAGTGTGGGTCGGGACTATCACTTGATTGTTTTTCGAAATAATTTCCGTATCTCTAAATAAACAATCAATAGTTTAATAAATCAATGCTATCTTGATTGAGCTTTCAATTTTTACAAACATTATGTTTCTATTACAAACTTTGTAACATTAAAAAGTTTAGCTTTATAATTATATCTCCATTATTGTACTGCAAACTATAATAATGAAAATAACATTATATTTAACTCATCACAAGAACTATTTTATATTTTCGTACAATTGTAAGACTGACATATTTAAGTTTTTGTTCTGTTCTAAAATACTTCACCTAATTGAGGTACAGAATCAGCAGTCAGGACTTATCAATCATCATAACCCAAAGCGGAAACACCTCCCTGAATTCATAAGAATAATTGTGAAAAGGTAATTACCAGAAAGACTGATTACCCCTAATTGCCTAATACACCCTAATTGGGCATTCTCATAGTTCTCAAGCCTTTCTCCGCGCTTCTCGAGTGCGTAAGGTGTATGTTGGATAGGAAAATCCAGACTTGGAGGCGTGAGTTTTTGGCT